CAAATTCAAAATTCGGCCAATTTGTTGCAAGACTTATGGACCGACCTAATATAATGTATTTTCGCGCTTCTCTTTTTTGCCAGAAAAAATCAATGGTGACCTCGAAATTTTTTCTTTTGAATATCCTGATTCTTTAAGACTTGAGGATATAAAAACACTAGAAAACATAGTATATCAATCTTTGGAGGGCGTTGCTCAAGCGAGAAAAAATAATGCACTAAAAATCGTTTCGGCGAACACTTTTGACCGCTACTGTAAGTGCATTAGGGCATGAAGGTATGTAGCTACATAGGGATGCTGTTCTTTTCCTTAACAGTTTAAAAGCTGCGAAATTATCAATCCACTACACCTTGTTGGAATTTATTTGGTTCAATCTCAGTATTCTGGAAAGTAAAGTAATTACTATCACGTAATTATTATCTTATACACAGATTTCTTTCACTGACGTGACTTACACCACGACCTCGACATCAAAGATGACCCATTACGATGATCCTGATCCTCGAAGAAATGCACAGTTGAAGCTTGCGCCGAGTATACTAAATACGGGGACCGCTAGTCGCCCCAGCGTTCAAATTGCGCGCCAACTCAGTTACTTCGAATTTCATCATGCGCCAGTCTAGTCGGTTAAGCTCGTCGCCTCTACAGATCTTTTCATCCTCCCTTCTGAATAGTTCCATTATTTCGTTCATGTAAGGCGGATAAGCTTAGCCTATTCATATTCCTCTCATTTTCCTTCAATATTGGGCAAGTTTTCGCCGTTTTGGTAGCACACTTTTGAACGCTTCATTTCTGAATGATTTTCGAAGTGCTGCTACCACTTTACAGATGTCCCATAAATATTGCACCAAATTTTGAGCTCAAATTCTGTAGGTGTTTATAGCTTTTCTTCCGAGATTGGCAGACCTTTCAATCCTCTATCCTCTTGTCAATGACCATGCCAAATTCCACGGCTTACCGTTCGGCCTGCATCTCATGGTGCGCCTAAACTTCAACAGAGTGCCTAACCTCTCACACAGCTAGGTCGGACATCCGGTGATGAGCATCGCGCTTCTTTGGATTTTCAACCGGCCTACCGTGCACTAAGAGAAGACCAATAAAAGTAGTCTTTGTTGTGGCCGCCCCACAAGTTCTGACATCTTGGATCTCAGGAAAAGCATGAAGAAGCGAAACGACTGCAATACCCGGGTTGGCTCGAGAAAGGTGACCAGAACGCTGGAGTTTCTAACACAGCCATGTAGAGAGTGGTCAGATAACAACTGCTCACAGTCCATTATAAGTTGCATAAGCACCACTGCTCAATCCAACGGGAGGAGCACAGCAGAGACAAAAAGTTCAAAGAGCTGGTGTCGAGGGCCGAAAATGGCGATTACGCGGGCACCGTTTTCATCGACGACAAAATTCCTCACATGGAGCGGAGCTACAATCTTCAAACTCCGAGGATGCCCGCATGAGGTCTTGAGGAAGTCAGTGAGAGTGAAAGGAATATTCGCCACAAGCAGCAGCCGAACCTTATCATGGTCTGGGGGGTCTCGCTCACCATCACTGCCTGTTTACAAAGGAATACAACTTGATACTAGACCGAGCCAAGGGACATTTCGGTGCACCATCTGTTACTGAGGTATCTAGCCACTTTGAGGAGGGGTGATGATCTTTTCAATAGGACCCAGCTTCTGCATAGGAGGCAAAAATTGTTCAGGAGCGCTGTTAAGGCACTCTTTCCGATTTCACATCCTCAACGAATGGCTCTCCTATCCCTTGATTTCAGCGTGCTGGACCATCCTATGTGGGCTATGTTAGAGGGCAGAGCCTGCACTAAACATTGCATCCACATGGATGAGCCGGAGCCTTTTCTCTGCAAAGTTTCGAAGAGAACACCCAGGATGCCATGCGGGCCACAGTAGAGTTGCGTTCGAAGCAATTGGGAGCCATACTCACAACAACAGGGGAGCATATCCAATGAATGTCATTCCTTTCAATATGTAAATGTATTGCTAAATTTTGTAAAACCTCTTGAAGATACATCCATTTTGAAAGAAGTTACAAGTAAAGAGAAGTGGTGCAATATTTATGGGACACGTATACATCTATGGAAAGGGCGTTTTTTGCCAAATCTAAATCTACTGTTACTTTGATCCTGAAGCACTATTCACAATGTAGATTACAATTCATATAATTTAGGTCGTTTCGCCGGTACTGCCCTCTAATTCTCTTTTGGCTCACTTGATAGTAATTCGTTGGGAGTTCCCCCTGGCTATTGTAGTAGTAAACTGATCGTAGGATCTTATTTGGTATCATTTATGTGCCTGCTCCCAGGCAGTATGAAGTAAGCAATGTGTATTCATTCCCTAACAAAAGCCATATGCACATCGTCTACGCCGCACACGCTACGCCGGCAAGTCATCTAGTCGATGATTAGGTTCCTCCTATTTTGCTCATTGGATCGTCGGTCGCTGACATCCATCATATCTGCCACGGTTCCAGCAGACCACTTGTCCGAATCGGGTCAGGAAAGCACGCTTCATAACCACCTTGCTGCAGCCACATGGACGTTCTCCATATGAGCATTCTCGCGCGAACACACCTCCCTCCGCAATTGTTGTGGACACCCACTGGACTACCACGCTTTGCCGGAGGTGTGAACATTGTGCAGGCATTTTCTGTTTCTTTTTTGAAGGCAAATCATTTCTCATGGGAAGATCTTTCAGCCGCGATTGGTGGCGAAGTACATTTGGCGCGAACTTGGCTGTAGCCAAGGATTCTCGGTGGTTTAGAAAAGCCACTATGAGGTACTTGCGCCTGAGATGCGCAGGAGGTACATATTTAGGGGTGGACTCTCAACGATCTGCAGGCTGCGTTCGAGATCATAGCAGTTTGTCTCCACGCAAGGCGTTTCCGATGTATGTTTCCCTGTGATAGTTGGCTGTGTTTGCGGTTGGTCTGCAAGTCGGCACAGTAGAGACTGTATTCAATGGATTTAGAAGTACATGCGAGGCGATCAAGGGGAGGCCTGTCTTGGAGGTCCATCCCAGTCCCCACGCCAGAGTCTGGCAAGCTACGTAGAAATCCGATATCCCGAAAACAGCAATATAAATAGGTCGATATGCCATTGGCCTTTAAATATTTTCGGCGGTGGAGACAAAGATTACGCGGGCAGGCGTCGAGAGGGGACGCTCGGCGAAAAGGGCTGACAGGTCCCATGTGCCACATGGAGCGGCCAAAAAGGGAGACCAAGGTAGCGCTAAGTTACTTTCAGCGCAGGAAAAAGGACGCATGAATCAGCCACCACGGGGAGCGTCACGTCGAACCGCTTTGACAACTGTCGCCTAGCTGACGGAACCAAGCCGACACGAGGCAAGGACCGAAGTCATTCTACATGGATACTATGAGAAGGTTGCGGAAAGTCAATCATGTGTTCGGTATGTCATTCAAGGCGTGAGCATAAATTAGAGGGAACTCGAGTTTTCAAGGTAGGTTCAAGATGCAATGTGGTAGTATGTGATGGCATCCATTCCATTGGACTGTAGTTGCATCTGACTTCCTCTAATACATTTAAAACCGGTTCGTCAAGCCACTTAGCAGTGCCTTACACTTTCAGACCGAATCATAAAGTGCAGATATCACATTTAGGATTGTTCCATAATTAGTGAATCACTTTAGATTTATTGCTGTGGAAATCCCCAGAAAAATAGTGAACGGCGGCAAACTTGTTACGTGAGGTACCGCCCACAGTGGTCTGCGAACAACGAATCAGTCCTTTTACATACCGCCATCAGTAGCTTCCACACTTCTAGTTAGTTAATTCTAACATTCTTCCTTTATCATCACTGATTAGGATATTCAAGAATCCGGATGAATAAGCGATACGAGGGGTTGAATCAGGGTAGGCTAGTATGCACCCCTCAATCCACGATGCATAGGAGGTCCATTCTATTCAAAATTGGCTTTTTTGATTTGAAGGTTATCTAAGTCACTACCACTATGTGACGTGCAGCTCGACGCTCTATCCGACGCCATTGAAAAGGTTAATTCATGGACATACCAGTCGCTGTGCCAGAGCTCTGATGCGACAAGGTGACGGTACAGACAATGAGACGTTTCCACAAACTCGCGAAAATTTGGAAATATAGAGTTTGTATCTCACATGTTTTGAGACCAGATCAGCTCCTACCATCTGACTCGTAATGATTATCTGAGTTTCCATGTGTCTTACGATATTGACTCCGCATTCTTTATGTGAGTGCAGTGTGCGAAAATCCACACATCGGCAGTAAAGATGCTTAAACGACTAGTGAGTTTTGCGAGCAAAGCCTAGCAAAGGCTACTTAAATCTAGTGTTTCGCAGTTCAGTTGTCGGATACGAGGGGAATCAATGATAACTGGAAATAAAATCTAGCAAAACTTGGAGGTGACAAAAGAAAAACGCATTTTGGAAGGGATGCCTTCAAACTGAAAACAAAACATGATCAGGCCTGCTTTCTGCTGATTTCCGACCCTACTTTGCGGAGAAGATCCAAAAAAATTACTTTTGGCTGAAAACTCTTTCAGCCCCGCAGTCTACCCTAACCTCGCGCCAACGAGCGACTAGCCTGTGCTATCCAGCATTCTTTCTCGGGAAAATTTTTTGCATTAAAGCAACTCCCTCAGATTGAATTTTCAAGCTCACAACGACTGATAATGAAGTTAGGAATGCCGAAGCTAAAAATGGAAAATTGAGCAAAGAATACCGTTGATGAAGTTATGAAACAAAAAGTCTCCTTGAAAAAAGAAGATGTGCGCCCAAACGAGTTGCACGAATATGCCTGCTTCACGGCTCAATTAACCCGTGCGCATTTGAATTAGCCGCTACGCCGTAATCCACGTTGTTATGGGGTACGGGCTAACTCGTCCAAATGCTAAGATTAGTCGCCAAGCGCTGACTATTTAAGACCCTAGTGGTTGTTGAGCACGTTCGAGCAGCTACAACGTCACATCATGGGTTACTCTATCCCACCCACTGAATAGATTTTCGACACGACTTCTGCTGGGGATGATGCTTGAAGCGACCTGATCTCAGTGCTTTCTTGATAAAGCCAAGAAAATAATTCGATAAGAAAAGCAGTGACTAGCTAGCTCCCTATGCATAGACGATGCTGTGTAGATGATGGTGGTGTAGTTTGGATAAGCAGGCGCTTGAGAGAATTACAAAAAAACAACATCGAAATTGAGAAATAGCCAAAGTGGTTCGCTAATTATGGGACAACCTAATACAGTACAGTGAGAAATTTTCATTGTCATTACCTCAACCAGTAATACTGTAATGGACAGGCATAGCCAGGTGAGACTCCAAATGATGTTTGCTGCGATGACAGTGCCAATGAGAATTTTGAGCCTGAACCGTCACTATTACATGATGCTGGAAAATATTGACAAACTATAGAATGACATTGAAGAACACACCAAGTCCATAAAATATAGGTCCATAGACTGAACTTTTGAAATTTCTAACACCAACATTTTAAGAACTTAAAGGCAGTAGGCACGACAATTTTTTTCATATATGATAGATATGGGTAGAGGAAAGCGCAACTATGGGCCTAAGCAAACGGATAAGGGTTTTGAACTAACAGGGCGTCATGAGTTTCCATCCCCTACGCGAGATTCGATTTGTCTTCAAATAGCGGTAACAAGGTTGTCCTTTATTCGTCTGCGCTCTAGTGTTTGCAAGAGAGATGCAGAGCACTGAATTCCTGACGATGGAATAGTCGAAACTCGTTCAGCTAGCGAAACCAGTTACACGAGTTGGCTTCCAATTGTGCACGCCCACATTCACTTTTTCCGTCCAATACCACATGGCTCATAAAATTTAGTATTCGTCAGCAAGGATAGACACAAATGCCACTACCGACCATCACATATGGTCGGTAGTGGCATTCGTGCATTCTCATACGATCAACTCTAACCGAACTGGTGAGGGAGGAGACGGGGTAAGAACAAAAGGTGTATGCATCTGAAACCAACCAGACTCATGGAACTATGTTTCCAATCGATGTGTATAAGTTCTGCTTTTATGCTATGATAAACTTTTTAAGTTGAGCCCTGAACTCGACCGGACCATTTCCCAATTAATAATTGTACGCTAATAATTGTATGAGTTAACATCAGCTCTAGGACCCATTAATGATAATATCTCATAATAAAATACTGGTGTGCAAAACTTAGACGAGAGCAGATGAGGTACCATAACCTCGATAGCTTTGTGGACCGTTTAACGGTTCCTGTTAACTGCTTTCATTAGTGCCCTGTGGCAGCTCTTTGTATGTGTGGTTAGGTTCCATAGAGTCATGTTACGCGCCAGTAACACCGTCGTTGGAAAAGCTACGTTCGTCCCGAAGTTTTGCACACCAGTGTAATAAAAGAATAGAAAGTCAGAAGGAAGCAGGGCAAATTATAGATGCTCGGAGCTCCGATTCGGCGAATAGTTGATGAGCTCGAATAATTAGTGTCAACAAAACCTCCCTGTTTTAAAAAGAGCGATTTTCGGCTCTAACATTCGACAACACCGGCGCCGATGCAGGGCGTTACCCTGCTTGCGACAGCCGTCGTGGCATTCAAGTACTTCAAACCTCTCTAAGCCACCCTCTAACCCTTCCCAAGGGCAATCCGTGGATTCCAGAGTACCGTTTGCAGGCGTCAGCTCCCACCACTTGACTATGACGCACCCGTAGAGCGAACCCGGATCGTTGGAGGTTGGAGGCTTTTTGCGAATCTCGATGAAATGGCAACCAAATGAACCATTACGCAGTATTGAACCGTATTGGCGTACCCGTAATTGAAATCCAAAGATAACTTACGGTTGATTCAATATTTTTGCCCATTCTTAAAGCGAGAGATTACGATAAAGTGCGTATGCAGCGTGGAAGTACATGCACCATTGGAAGCAGTAGTCAGGGGCCCAAGGAAACGAAATGTTGCGTTTTTGTGGTCAAAGGTGCGCTAGTTGCAGCGTACAAGGCTTGCCATTCCTTTCTGAGCCCCGCCACGGTCTGTGCTCCGCCCCCAGCAGCAGCGCCCTTCGATTGCCAATGTGACGAGATATTCCACTTCCAGAGTGTATCCTATAACTTTTCATGGGATGCGTGATCAATCAAAGCATGATGCTTGCTGAAATGATAGAGGCTATCAGCATAACATGTGCAAACTCCTAATTGGTTGCTAGCTCGTCCATTATCGGAGGTCAACGGGCAAAGAAAGGGGTCCCATTTTGCGCCTTCTTGACGGATTTCTTTGCTTTTTTCGCCACTGGGGCATTATTCAGCATCTCCACTTCCACTATGAACCCAGTCCAAACTTATCGTAATCCCTCGCTTTAAGGCAAGATTCATGATTAAACGATGAGGTAACTCCACTCAAATGTGAAAGTAGGGGTAGGAAAGTGGACCCGCCAGTGGAGAAAAAAAAGGAAAAAAGTCGTGAAATACACAGGAAAAACGAGCCTTCTGCTACGCTAAGGAAAAGTTTCAAAAGGCGGATAGGGAGATGTGAGATAGCTTGTCTCAACCGGTGGGGTGTGTCAAAGTTCTTGTCGCCTAGAACTAAAGCTTTTGGAAGTAGGGAAGTGACGTGACCTCTGCACTTGCTTACCTAGCGCTTCTAGCCACCGTAAAACCTTATTAAAAGTGGGTCTGAGCCCGAACTTTGCGTTCAGTCGAAAGTTTCGATCGCTACGATAGCGGCTGCAGACTTTCTCGAATTGGCTACGAAAAAAATGGATCCATCCAAGTACCATTTATAAATCCATAAACCTTTGATAAGCACTGAAGGCCACGGTCTCGTTCACTTCTTCATAGGCTTCTTGTGATACCATGTCGAAAACACCTAGTCGTTGCTTGAGTGATTTTTTGGAGATTAAGAGGGGTGAATTTCTTCATTTTTACAGTAGAAGTCGGAGATTGCTACAATACATAAAAAACAGCTATTCGCCTACCCAAAAACAGCAGAAACTGGTGAGAAGATGAGAGAGTCAAAGAAGCCATCGGCGCGCTTTCCATAATTTGTGCCCATCCTGTACATCCCTCATGATAAGAGTAAATAATGCGATCGGCAAGTCGGTTTGCGATTAAACTTGTATACAGTTTGACATCACAAGAAGTTTAAGTGTCGACGTGTAAAGCAACCTTCTAATTGCTCTCAAAAGGTTCGACCACGGAAAACGCCGACAAGCAGGGACATTGAAATGCAATTGAACCCCGGAACCCGCGCATACATTATACGAAGTTATACGAGTATATTCTTCGACTGACCAACAAACTCACTTCATCACACATCTTCGGGTGAGTTCCGGCAAAATGGTAGCGATAAAGAATACATTCAAAGGGATAGCGATACAGTAGAGCGCCAAGAGACCGATATTGGCATATGTGCAGGTATTGAGTCCCAGAATCGGTACATAAGGCAGTGATCTGAAATGAAGGCACTGAAATGCTGAAACGTCATAAGCAAGAAGCTGCGCCGTTCAAGATAACGAGTGCATGGAACATCGAAATTAATAAATTCAATCATTAATTTAATTTAATTAGTTAATAATAAATTACATTAATTAATAAATTTAATTTATTAAACTGCGAAATGGCAAGCGGTGATAGTCGGCTTGGGAAAAATCCGGCGCCTAACGGCTATTCTGCATCCGACAGAACGATCTCTCTACTCACGCAAATGGGTATCCTCCTACCCGAACTGGCAGACAGGGTGAATATCGGTCGAGGAATCCTCGACAGGGGGGTCGTACCTGTTGGGCTGGTCCATGGGGGGTCGTACTCTTGGGGTCAGTAACAGAAGTGGTATCATGGTGCAGATAGGTAATAGGGTATAGCGCAGCAGAAAATGAAAACATCCGAAAAAAAAACATGATATTAAATTTTTGGCACTGATTTACCCTTTACTGCCCCACTCCTCAAGAACTGAGCCGGATTTTGATCGAAATTCGTCCATGACTGTGGATTTTGCTAGAAACTTGCCTTCAGGGGTAATTTGACCCGTAGATCACGAATATAATACCGGTTTAGAGCGAAAACGCTTGGCGCCCGCGCCACAGGCGCCGGCGCTATCACAACAGTTTTGCGCGGGCGCTCGTAGCGCAGGCTACAGGTTCACTCGTAACAAACTGATGTGATAATCATATTCTACGGGTCAAAATACCTCTGAGGACAACTTTCCAGCGAATTTGGGGATCCGAGATGTTCTGGCGCCTTTTGGCGCCGGCGCTTCTGACGCGAGCGCCAGGCGTTCTAGCGGTAAACAAATGTGATATTCGTGTTCTACGGGTCGAATTACTAAGAAAGATATGAAGGTACTCATACAACGGCAGCGGTGTTAAATGGCTTATTGTTAGCGGTGACCTTATTGAATGAAATGGAAAAGAAAAACAGAGGAAGGGCTCAATTTTTCTTTCCAGAATACTGACTGCAACGTCCTGTGCTGTCGACAGCCTGCAGCCCACGGGCACCCGACAGGAGGCCGTCGCGCGGCAAGAAGGCAGAGTCAGCGGACGAGTCGCAGCGCGTGATGTGCGATGTAGGACGTACAATGGTACATTCTATTTAACTTGACGCGAAATCACTACAGTACGCGCTGCGACTCGTCCGCTGACTCTGCCTTGTTGCCGCGCGACGGGCCTCCTGTCGGGTACCCGCACCCCACATATAGGCTGCATGGGCTAAAAGGTCTTGGAATGTTTATGTTTGTAAAGCTACTCTCTAATCCATTTTTGTAGCTGATAAATTTGCTTCATAAATGTAATACATTCAATATTACTGGGAAAATATAAAGCTGTCCTTATATTAACTATGTTTCTACGCACTCATCATCTCTTTCAACGTTGATATAAAGAAAGTAGTGCAAGTATTAGAACTCTCTTGTGTTTCAGCGAATCACTGCTCCTTATTGCTACCCGATATGTTAGTATTCCAGTGTGGAAAATTATAACTTGCATTGAAATCATCGTTTTCATTATAGAGAATAGTGTATATCCACCATTCTTGAATCCAACTCATTCTGTTTCTGATTGTGTATAACTAACACAGTTCATCTACCTAAATTGTGTGAGCAGCTCTCTTTTGTCGAACTTGTTCTATTAAATTTTTAACGTTTTTTTTAGCATAACTATACTCCAAATATGAAATAGTTAGATCTGAAGCAGGAGACTAAATTTACCACCCTATGGTACTACAAGATTCATTATTGAAAACGTTGTTTCTAAACAAGCAGAAACTGTTGCTGAGCAGGTATTCTGTAAAATACAGTGAATCGCTGATTTTATAGTATCTAAAGTCCTTTTTCATTTCTTTTGACTTGCGTGGCCGTGAGTCGATATCGAACTGAAAATGCAAAGACATTGCAAAGTAAGTTGGTCTCATAAAGAATAGAAGGATTCAGGACAAGTATACGCGTAAGTTATGTATTAATTCGGGTCAATCAGTGTTTTCTAACCTGCTTAGCCCAGCCACTAGGAATCAAAGTTTAAAATTGCATAGCTTGAAACCACGTAGGAAAATAATGTACCCTCCCCTTCAAAAAGCCAGAAAGTGTCGGGTGCAGACCATACACCACAAGTGACGACGGCCTCCACAAAATGCAAATGTTTTCTGCCAATGAAATGATTAGCCTGTTGCAGCTTGTATTCGATCAG